ACCTTCCAGGCGGCAGAGCTCACGGAAGACGACCTCCGCGACGACCTGGGAGACAACGACTGGCACGTGGGGGAGATCCCGTGGGGGCCCTTCTCCCCCCACTTCCTCAACTATCTCCTGGCGCACCTCATCTACGCCGGCAGGTGAGTTCTTCGGGGCCGGGGTTATGGGCGGGGGGGGGGGGGGGTAGGTGGATGGAGATAGATAGGTGGAGGTGCCACGGTTTGAAAGGCTGTGGTGGATGGAGAGGTGGATTTGTCACGGCTTCATGTGCCGTTGGTGGATAGATAGACAGTTGTGGTAGATGGATAGGTGGATTTGTCACAGCTTCATGGGCCGTGATTGATGGATAGATGGATTCACTACCCCTTTATGGCCTTGAGAGACGGATAGATATCTCTGCGAGAGATAATGCCAGATAAAATTAGAAACGAAAGACAGAAAGAGAAGAAAACAAAGTAAATGGCCCAATTAGTTTCATGGTCGTGACGGTTATGAGATTGTTTTCGTGAATTCTTTCTTTTTACCCCAATTTTTCATTCTTTTCTTTCCTTGTTTATTGTTTGTTTTAATAATAATGTGAGAGGTGACTGCTGTCAGTTGTATAGATTAAGCAGGAAGTTAGAAATTAAGAAAATACTTTCAATTCTCTTTTTTGTTGTTGTTGTTGTTATTAAGAATATGAACTCGATAGTAGAGATAATGCTAATAATAACATCGACAGTGATTATATTAAATGCATATATTTATGCACGTGAAACTGATAAAGATATCGTGACAGCGTAGAAAGCAAAATAAGTTCTTAAATGAATGCATATTCGCGGCAAAATTACTAACGAGGATTCAAGAAGACATTAACCAACCAGCAGACGACAGGAATAGCCATTTTAAACAGGCACTTTCCTTGTAAACACAACATGAAAGCAGAAACATCGGTACTCAGTGTAAACTGGATTATTAACAGGATTGTAGTACACACGGCCAAGGCAGTTAGCGGAGTGCAACAGGCAGGACGAATTCCATTAATACTCTGCAGAACATAGTAACAGGGAAGTTAATACAGGTGTACCACTAACGCAGCGGTTGTAGTACATGTAGGTATGGAGGCTAGGGAAGGGTGTGTGTGTGTGTGTGTGTGTGTGTGTGTGTGTGTGTGTGTGTGTGTGTGTGTGTGTGTGTGTGTGTGTGTGAGAGAGAGAGAGAGAGAGAATAAGAGTGTGTGTGTGTGAGAGAGAGAGAGTGAGTGTGTGTGTGTGTGTGAGTGTGTGTGTGTGTGTGTGTGAGAGAGAGAGAGAGAGAGAGAGAGAGAGAGAGAGAGAGAGAATAAGAGTGTGTGTGAGAGAGAGAGAGAGAATGAGTGTGTGTGTGTGTGTGTGTGTGTGTGTGTGTGTGTGTGTGTGTGTGTGAGTGCGTGTATGAGAGAGAGAGAGAGTGTGTATGTATGTGAGTGTGTGTGTGTGAGAGAGAGAGAGACAGAATGAGACTGTAGGTGTGAGAGAGAAAGTGTATTTGTATGTGTGAGAGAGAGAGAGAGAGAATGTGTGTGTGTGTGTGTGTGTGTGTGTGTGTGTGTGTGTGTGTGTGTGTGTGTGTGTGTGTGTGAAGGGAAGGATTAGGCTCGGGAAGAACAGGGTATAGGGCTTGGGGGATGATGTAGACACAGACGAGTATAATGTTTAAAGGGGAAATTCAGAGGAAAGAAGGGTTGCAACAGGTTACGTGTTGAATGCAATTTTCGTATTTTGTTTAATTTTCTTTTTTTTTTCCTTTCTTTCTTTCTTTCTTCTTTTTTGAACAGTATGATTTTTATTTTCTTTTTTTGTGTTTTTAATCTGTTAATTGTCATTTTTATTTCTCTTGTTTTTTTTACTTTTGTGGATTATATATTTCCTATATTGTGTGCATCGATATATATACGTGACATTAGTACAATTAATAGATTATATATTTCACAGTTTCCTTTGATTACTTACAATATCCCTGTCCCTGTAATAACAATGATGAAAAATAATAATAAAAAACAACATACAACGCTTCTTCCTCCTATAATTAAAAATAGTAATAAACAACGATAATAAAAATAACAAAGAACACAATATACATTTACAATACCCGTTTCCCTTCCTACAATCAAATATATTAGTAACACCAATGATAATAAAAATACAAATGAAAAAGTAGATAATATACACCTACAATATATATATATTTATATAACACGTTTCTACCTCCTGCAGTTAAAGGCAGTAATAATAACAACGATAATATAAAATGATAAACGCAATACACATTTACACTACTCGTTTCTTCCTCCTACAATTAAAGACAGTTATAATAACAACCACAATGAAATCAATGATAAAAAACACAATACACATTTACAATAAATGTTTATTCTTCTACAATTTAAGAGTAATAATAACAACCACAATAAAATTGATTATAAAAAACACGTAATTTATAATAATCGTTTCTTCCTCCTACAATTAAAGATAGTAATAATAACAACCACCATAAACTTAATAACAAAAAAAAAGCACAAAACACATTTACAACAATTGTCTATCCTCCTAAAATTAAAGACACCACAATAAAATTAATAGTAAACCACAATAAAATTTATAAAAAAAAAATCTACAACAGCCGTCTGTCCTCCTACAATTAAAGACACCACAATAAAATGAATAGTAAATCACATTAAAATTAATAACAAAAGCCCCAATTTACAACACTCGTCTGTCCTCCTTCCAGATACGCGGGGGTCTTTTGGGGTACGAACAAAGGCCTCGGGTTCGTCTTCTTCGTCCAGCTGATCCTCAACGCTGTTCAGAGCATCTTCGCCCTCAATGGGTTCCAGGTGAGGTGGGGGTGAGGGGGAAGGGGGGGGGGGTAGTGAGGGGGAAGGGGAGGAGAGGAGGGGTGGTGGGGTGGTGGGGGTGAAAGGGAGGAAGAAGGGAAGGGGGAAAGAAGGGGTGATGAGGGGGAGGGGGAGGTGGTGAAGGGGAGACGAGGGGGAAGGGGGAGGAGGGATGGTGAGGGGGAAGGGGAGGAAGAGAGGAGGGGTGGTGAGGGGGAAGGGGAGGAGGAGAGATGGGTTAGTGAGGGGGAAGGAGAGAAGGCAGGGGATAAGGGGAAGGGGAGGCGGAGAGGAGGGGTGGTGAGGGGGAAGGGGAGGGGGAGGAGAGGAGGATTGGTAGGGGGAGGGGAGAGGAGGGGTGGTGAGGGGGGAAGGGGAGGGGGAGAGAGGGAGAGGTGATATTAATGGTGAGGAGGGAGGAGAGGAGGAGGGGGTGGGAGAAGGTGGTGAAGGGGAAGGGGAGGAGGAGGGGGTGAGGGAGAGGTGGTGTTGATGGTGAGGGGAAAGGGAGGAAGGTGAGGAGGAGAAGGAGAGAGAGGATGATGTTGATAATATTGATGATGGTGAAGAGGAGGAAGGATAGGGGGAAGGGATGGAGAATAGGGAGGGGGGAGGAGGAAGAGCAGGTATAGGATACTGATGAAGAGGAGGAGGAGGAGGAGGAAGAGGATGGCAATAGAGAGGGGAAGGAAGATAATGGTGAGGAGGAGGATGTTGATGGGGAAGGGAAGAGGGAGGAGGAGGAGGAGGAGGAGGATGGTGATGGGGAAGGGAAGGGGGAGGAGGAGAAGGATGAGGAAGAAAATGGTGATGATGATGATGGGGAGAAGGAGGAGGAGGATGGAAAAGGGGAGGGGAAGATGTGATAATGATGATGCTAAAATATAGTAATAATAAAAATGACAATAATAATAATAACGCTATTGATAATGATAACAAAAACAGTAATGATGATAATGGCAGTAATGATAATACTGATAATGATGATAATAACAATATCATTAATAGCAAAGATATTGATAGTGATAATATGATAAAAGTAAAAAATTAGCCAGAGGAATTAATGAAAGTCAAATGATAATAAATATTTGATAAAAGTAAGGGATAGGATAATAGAAAAAGAGAAATGGGTATGTAAGAATCAGGGAGAAATTAGATATTTTTGAAAACTAATAATATCTCTCTATGCGTTTATTTGTATTTCCGACTATTGAGTTTTTTCTCTGTTTTTCTTCCTTTCCTTTTTCTTACGTTCTCTCTCTCTCTCTCTCTCTCTCTCTCTCTCTCTCTCTCTCTCTCTCTCTCTCTCTCTCTCTCTCTCTCTCTCTCTCTCTCTCTCTCTTTCTCTCTCTCTGCCTATCTATCTGTTTGTCTATCTATCTGCCTATCTGTTTATTTCTCCCTTCCCTCTCTATCTCCTTTCCCTCCTTCCCATCTTCCCCCCTCCTTCCCTCCTTATCTCACTCCCTTCCTCCCTCCCTTTTTCCCTCCCTCCCTTCCTTCTTCCCTCCTTCCCACCTTCCCTCCCTCTCCCTTCCCTCTCCCTTCCCTTCTCTCCCTCCCACCCACCCACCTCCTCCCTTCCCTCTTCCCTCTGCTCACTCACCCAACTCTCCCCATCTCTACAGATTCTCCCTTCCTTCCTCCTTCCCTCTCTCTTTTCCCTCCCTACCCTCCCTCTCCACTCCCTCCCTTCCCTTCCCTCCTTCCTACCTTGTCTCCCCTCCCACCCTCATTCCCACCTCCTCCCTCCCCCTCCCTTCCCTCTTCCCTCTCCCCACCCCCTCCCACCCACCCACCCATCCATCCCTCCCACCTCCCCTCCCACCCACCCACCCACCCACCCACCCACCCACCTCCTCCCTTCCCTCTGCTCACTCACCCAACTCTCCCCCTCTCTACAGGTCCTCTACAAAGTGCACGTCGTCGGCCCTAAGGAAGTATTGCCTGACTTCGACGGGTTCCTCCTGCCCCTGCCGGCTATCTTCGCCGTCTTCACCGCCAGCCAGGCCCTTGTGCTCGCCTCGGGTTCCGTTCTGTACCTCTACGGCTTCGTCAAGTTCAACGCTTTCCTCAACGCCGAGAAGGAGAAATACCACATCCTGAGCAAGCACGGCCATCAGGTGGGTTTCGGATGGATGGA